TTCTTGATAGAAAAAGGTTTTGAAAGAGTCAAGGTTGATGCAATACTCTTTATCAAAAGAAATAAGAAGGAACTCTTAATATGTCAAATTTATGTAGATGATATTATATTCGGTGCTACTAATGAAAAATCTTTGCCAAGAATTTGCTAAGTTAATGCAAGGAGAGTTTGAAATGTCAATGATGGGAGAATTGAATTTCTTCCTCGGATTACAAATCAAATAAAGAAAGAATGGGATATTCATATCCCAAATGAAGTATCTGAAGGAACTTCTAAAGAAATATGGTTTGGAATAGGCAAAGAGTGTGAATACTCCAATAAGCTCGACTATATCTCTAGATGCGGACGAGAAGGGCAAAGATGTGAATTTGACTAAGTATAGAGGAATAATTGGATCACTACTCTACCTTACAGCAAACAGACTAGATATTCATTCAGCATAGGGATGTGTGCCAGATATCAATTAGCTCCCAAGAAATCACATTAAGAAGCCGTCAAGAGAATACTTAGATATCTTGTTGGAACACCTAATCTGGGAATATGGTATCCAAAGAGAGGAGCAGAATATCTAATGGGATACTCAGATGCTGATCATGGAGGTTACAAAACAGGCAGAAAAAGCACTAGTGGACAATGCCAATTCCTCGGAGGCTGTCTGGTTTCATGGTCAAGCAAGAAACAAAACACTGTGGCCATATCTTCTACAGAATCAGAATATGTTGCCACTACAAGCTGTTGTGCTCAGATACTATGGTTAAAACAGCAATTGCAAGATTTGGGAATCAAATTAAAGGAGATCCCAATCCTATGTGACAACACGAGCACAATCAGTCTATCGAAGAATCCTGTTCATCATGCCTAAACCAAGCATATTGATGTTCGACATCACTTTATTCAGGATCATGTTCAAAAGAAAGACGTGAAGGTAGAATTCATTGCTACTAAATATCAAATCGCAGATATCTTTACAAAGCCCCTAGACCAATAGAAGTTCAATTACTTCATAAGAGAATTGGGAATTGTACATCCCAATGAGTTGTAAGAAATCCTACATTATCTCTTTATTTTGAGTATTTAAATTTAATGTTTTAATGATTAGAAAGCTAACTTAAGCATCGGAGTGGATAGAAATTTGTTTTGCAGGAAACTCTGTTTTGATGCTGAAAAACAAAGGTAAACAAAGGAGAGAATATTCGATAAAGATATTGATAATTATGTTTTGAGAAATGCTCTATTTATCGATCACCTAATCGATAATAGCATTTATGGATCAAATTATCGATTACTAAAGCATGTAGAAACCCACGGAGAATGAAAATTAGCAAATTATGGATAACGTGTTTGATAATCCAAATTATCAAGCACATGATCCATCATCTGAGACAAAAGCTCGTGAATAGAGGAAAGCAGCTTAAAAGGTAAGGTTGATCGATCACTTGATTGATCATTGATTTATCGATCAACATGAGTAGGTATAGTTTCTAACTGTAACTTATCGATCACTTGTTTGATTAATGCTTGTTTGATAATGTGTTCCATAACTGTTCATAGTGTTCTTATTGTTCTTCAATATTATCGATCAACTAATCGATCATGCCTTAATCAATAACCTGATCGATAATTCTTAGTGTTTTAAGTGTAGGGATTTGAAATTCCCTCGTCAGTTATAGAATCCTAACTCGATAATCGTTGTCCTTGTTTTTAGCAACGGTCAAAATCACTCCTATTCCTTTAAAATTTCTCTTTAAATTCCTTCTAAAATCACTTTTCTAACACTTTTTTCGATCACTCAATTCCTTTCTTGCTAAAAAATAACCTGAACATTTCTGTGCAATTCCATACTACACCGAAAATGGCCAGAGTCAAACAACCAGGTTCTAGTTGAGAAGAAAGTTCTGAAAAACAAGTCCAATGCAAAGAGACTACACCTTCGACTACTAAGACAAAGTATAGACTGAAGGTTAGGCAAGAAAAACCATAGAGAAGTGGGATACTCAAGATCAGAGAAAGAGACACACAGAGCTCGTCTCAGCTAATACTGAGTAAAAGGCAAACTTAGTCTAAATCCAAGCTTCCTGCGGTTTCTGAAGAATCAGAAACTGAGTCTAATGAAGAAGTATCAGTTCAAAAAGCTGTGGACATGGCTTTGAAAATTTGGGTACCCAAGCAGCCGAGACAGAAGAAATAGAGGGCCAGTGAAGGGGTATCTCGTCAAACTCCTACTCAGGGTAACCCTCCTTAATCTTTTAGAGAATTTATGATTGGAAAACTGGACAAGGATGTCAATATGGATAAATATATATAAGACAGATTTTGCCACTAGAAAGTTCTGCCCAGTGGTGTCTGTAGACTTAAATAGTTTGAAAACCAATGAGAAAACTCAATTGGATCTATCTGACCTAATGGAATACTACTCTAATTGGTTAAGCATCAGAGAGTATTACTGTCCTGAAGTAGCCAGGAGATTCTACTGCAACATGGAGGTAATAGAAGAATATGATGAAGAGGGCAATATGGTAAGGAGCTGCATATCTACTAAACTTAGAGGCAAAACCATCACTTTGGACCCAGCTAAAATAAATGAGCTTCTAGGAACTCAAGATCATGTCAAAGGGCTTGATATGAATGCAGTGAAGGCTTACAAGATCCTAATACAGAGTTATGCATACCCTAGAGAACTAAGCTTTCCACTGAGTTAAATGTGCGATTATTATAGAATAATCTACTATATTTACTCCAGAAGTATGGTGAATAAGTCTAGGAGCTTCTCTCATCTAATTCAAGATAATTATATCCTACTGGCAAGGATTATAAGTGCGGAGAAGATCAATACTGGTGGGTTAATTTATAGTGAGGTGAAGAATTTTACATTCTTTAAATCCAAGTCTACCCCTATTCCTTATCCCCAACTGGCTTCATACTTTCTCCAGGTGCATAACATTGTACATCTGGAGCCTGGAGAAACCAAAGAGCAAATACCCATCTTTGGAATCACTCAATTAAATAAGATGAGGATTCCAATACCCTTCTACCCAGCACAAAAGAAGGCAGATAAAGGGAAAGAGAAACAGCCAGCTGCTAGTGTCTTAAGAGGTCAAGATGAAGCCCAGTCCTCTGCAGACCCTACTCAAACATCTGTACCTTCCTTTATGGAAACACCATCCAAGGACTATTTCAAAGTGAGCTTCAGGGGTTTGAGAAAAGACCATATGCCACTGCCAAGGAATATAGAGAAATTTCTGATAAGAAATTTGAAGGACTGTACACTGTTTTGGATCTTTGTTAACAGGCTATGGCAGTATTAGAAAATGAAGTCTCCCTAAGATTTAACGCAGTAGACAGGGAACTTAAGGAGCTCAGGAGCCTGGTTACCTTACTCTCTACCAACTTTTCTGCACCTAAAACCTCATTCACTTGTGAGGACCTGTTTTCTCATACAACCTTACCCCATTCACTGAACCAACACCCACCTCAGATCCAACTCCAATCACCATTTTCTCCACTTCCCCTTCTGACTCACCCATTCTTCCTTCCTCTACCTCTCTTGCCATCATCTCAGATCCTCAGCCTCAACCTCAACCTGAACCACTCCCACCTATCTCTCAAGCTCTCTCTCCCATTCCTCAACTGCCTCCTCTTCCTATTCCTTTTACCACCCCCTTTCTTCCTAGTTCTTCCTCTTTCCCATCTGATGTTGATAAGAAAGGGGAGAAGAATTCTGACTTAGATTAGTTTTAATTTCTGTATTGTTTTTCTATTTTGTTGTTTAACTTCTATTTTGTTGCTTAAATATTAACTTCTTTCATGAATAAATATTAGTTATTTACTAGTTATTTAGTTTCCAAGTTTATTAGTTCAGTTTTTTAGTTCCTGATTCTATTCTGCGAAATCTATTCTAATAATTAATTAATTTTTCTGTGAATTAAGTCATGTTTTTTGTCTCATGTTTTTTCATCATCAAAAAAGGGGACAATGTTAGATTTAAGGTTTTGATGATAATAAAAAGAGTAATTAAGTTTCTCTACATAATTGTTATATTAATCGATCAAGTGTTTGATCATTGGTTAATCGAATATGTGTAAGATAATTGATTATACGTTTTGAGTTCAAAAACTGTTAAGTTTTATCGATCACGTGTTAAATAATTCACTTTGTTAGATAACTTGCTAGATAAATAGGTTTATCGATCACCTGTTGATGAAGCCTTAGTCGTTATGGGCTCTTAAAACAATTTAGTTCAGGATAGGAATGCACAACAGTGGCACAATCCGAGTCGTGTTTACTTTGAGAAGCCTGAAATGTTCCTATGTAATTTAAGTGACAAAACCATATGAAAAGGATAAAATTGGGGGGTTATAAAACTAAATTGAGTTGCAATGAAATCTAGATGTAAATAAGATGAAGTCTTTTTGGTCTTTTTGAAATGAATTAAAATAGTAATGAAAGAAAGCAATCAAATGGATAGTTTGTAAACTTAATTGATAAGAATGCTCCTTGGAGAATTGATTAAGCCTTCATCACTTCAAATTATGGTTGGAGTTTACTTGAAAACCAAACTTAGCTAGTTTAGAAAACCTTCCAAACTTAGGGAAATTAGTGTGCTAAAGAAACCTTTGACCCAAAGATTCACAACAAAAGTAACCACCCTCACAAATGCACACTTGGTGAGATTGATGCAATGGTAATAACAACTTGAACACAATAACCAATTATGCTAGCAAGGCACCACACTTAATCAAAATCAAATTTCGATTGAACACCAATCAAATTCACAAGATTAAATATAGAATTCTCATTACAATACAAATACCAAGGCATAAATGCTCAGAATCTAATCCAAAATGAAAAGATCATATCATTGAAGTTCAGCTTTAACAACAACACATAAATTCTAACCAAGAACAACTGAAATGCTATTAAAGTAATGGGAAAGATGAAGTAAAACTCCCCAAATAAGTCCCAAGCTTAGGTCTTCATCAAAACTCCTCAAAGCAAAATGTTCTAGCCTCTTATGATTTCAGAAACAGCTCCTCCAAGCTCTGAAATCACAACACCAGCCAAAGCAGATGAAGGTGGATGATGAATGATGTAGAAAACTGATGGAATGAGGTGGAATTGGGTAGGAATCAGTGGGGGAACATCAAGAACCCTTGAATAACCCTAGGAGACGAAAATGGGAGTGTCTAGACTATGAATGGCAGTTGGCTCATGCATTCCTCTTCCCAAAATCGCAATCTGAGGTTTAAAACCTGATTTTGTGTCAACGTCCTTTTCGTCACGACTAAACTTCCCTTTCGTCGTGACCAACCAATCAAAATGAACAACTGCATTTAGTTGGCCCTTTCCTGGAATTCCTGCAATCTGTTAGGCCTTAACTGCAATTTCCTTAAACTTAGGTCCTTTGGAGAGATATTTTTCACTTGACCCTTGACATGAAAATCAAATTAAGCACTTGTAATGTCACATCCAGTAATATGGCAATTAGGAATAAGAATATTTTTAAATATTCAAGGGCCAAAAAGGATAAGGAGAAATAGAATATTTATGGTGGAAAATAATTATTATAGTTTTCCAAGTCGATTATGAAAAGTTTGACTAATTAAGGAAAATTGGTCAAAAATAACTATGAAAAAATATTACCAAGTCTTGGAAAAGTAAGGAAAAATAAGAAAAATGTTCCTTGAGAGTTATGTGGGATTATAAAATTGGTTTTATGACCAAATTACCCTTAGAGAAATTACAAAGGAATTTAAGGGTGATTTAAGCTAGTTTAAGGCTTTTTATTTGGAAAATTCCAAATAAATATTAGGAAGGAGAATAAAATCCCAAGAAAATTCCTATGATATCCCAAGGAATTATAAGAAATTATGGGATTAAAAAGAGACCCTCAAATATCCAAGATTTTTCCTAATTATTTGGACAAGTGGAAAAATCAATAATGAGAAGGAAAATAGTTTTTCTTTTTATTTAGTTAATGGAAAATTGAGTTTGAGATAAAGAGGGCATTTTAGAAAGAGAAAAATGAGGAGAATAATTTATGGATTTGACAAAAAATAATTACAGAGGCTAGAGTACTGTAATTATAGAAAAGAAGTTAAACCCGAAGTAAAAGTACACTGATAAAGTGTAGATTAGAGTCTTGCACTTTACTTGGCTCACAAGTTGCCACTTGTCAAGCCACCAATAGAGAGGATTTAAAGTTGCCAAGTGTTAAGCCACCAATGGAGAGGATCTTGACTTTTGAAATTAATTTTAATTGGCATTAAGTTAATTAAGTGAGAGGTTACAAGATTAAATGGGTAAGTGACACATGGCATCTCATTAATGTTAGTTGGTAAGATATTTTTGGCCTTGATCAACACACTCCTCCCCTCATTTTCAGATCACCATTTGGCCAAGGAAGAAAGAAGAGAGAAAAAAGAGAGTTTGAAGTGGAAACAAGAAGAAATCAACCACTTTGGGTAAGTAAGCTTGGAGTTAAGGTTAGTAGATGATTCTATGTCATTCCTTGCTTGATTCTCTTAGAGTTGAATGGTTGAAATTTCTGGTTTTTCTCTTTGTTTGGTGCTGGCCGAATTGGTTAATGTTAGGGGAGGGAAGTTTTGTTGCAAAACATAGTTAGAACACTGATTTAAGATGGTTTCAAGTGATTGGATGTTGATTTGAAGAGATTTCTTTGATGCTTCTCAAACGGTACTGTTCGGCCAAGACCAAAACTGAACCTTAGGATTTTTTTTTCAAAGTTTTGAAGCTTCCATTGTGTTCCAAAATGGAAAATGGTGTAGGATAAATATAAAGAACAAAGGTTGGAAGCATTAGAGCTAAAGTTGTAATTTTTAGAAAATGAACCATAGTGGTTCGGCCAAACTGAAACTGGAAGAGGGAGTTTTATTTTCTTAAATCTAAGTAGATATTTGGAATCTACATGAAAAATCATGTAGGATTGAGTCAAGAAGGAATTTTCAGGGTTTATGGAAACCAAACTCTAAAATTTAAAGAACAAAGGTGGAAGCTTTAAGGGACAAAGGTTCTCCTTGAGTCACGTTGTTGATTTTTATGTGGAATGGTTGATGATTCTTGCTGCCCTTTTTATGGATTGCCATGTTAGGGTTTGGCATTTGTGGAAGCAAGAAAAGGTCAAAGAATCAAGAGCATTTGGAATAAGGTAGTAAGATTTAATTAACCTTAATGTAGAGTGTTGCATTGATTGCTATGCAATTTCATGTGTTATTATGTGGTTGAGCTAAATGATGATGATGATGATGATGATTATGTAGCTATACTCCTTGCTTTATGTACCTTGACTATTGCATGTTACTATATGTATGAGGTAAAGTAGTTCCCTATTAATAGCAAAAGGTTGGAGTGCTTGTAATTGATGCATGTTGATGTTTTGGTTGATTGGTCTTACTACTGGGATTTCATTGAAATCTCATTCCCCATATGTAACCTAATATTTTAGGGAATAAATCATCAAAAGGGAGGCTTCCAATTCAAGGATAAATATGGTGATGAACCATGAGGAAACATTTATATTTGGTTATGTATAAGTATGTATGGTTAGTGCTGTAATCCCTAAGCAGGACACCAAATTAGAGCCATGTTTTGATTAATTTCCCGAACGAATTTCTTCACAAAATTTGGTATGCTTAAAGTTCACGTCATGAGCTTCAAATCAATAGGCAGAAAGTTAAAAATGGCCAACTATACTATTTTTAATGATTTTTCAAAGTTAAGGTTCAGAATCCTGAAAAAGGGTTTTTGCCAAATGGACAGAGCTGACTTCCACAAAAACCTAACACTTTTTCAAATAGAATTGGTTCACAATTTTTCTTGAAAAAGCATTCAAATATCTTTTTATATAATTTTGAACCACTCCATTTCAACTTTTCTAAATTAAGTTATGAATTTTTGAAGTTGGGCCAGAAAACTGGATTTTTACCCAATGAACAATAAAAATCCGAAAATCAGTGTTTTTGGGATAAATATGAGCCCAAGGCCATCCAATGTGATCTAAAATGATTCTAAGTGAATCCTAAGTTGATTCGATAGTAAGGTTTAACATGTAATATCCAATTCAATTTTGTAGATGACGATTGATTAAAATGATGCACAATTTGACAATTTTACCCTTACAAAGTGCTTAATAAGAAATCAAACTCATAGTTATAAATTATTACAATTCATATCAAAACATGCATTTTAAAACAATTAATTCCTCTAAAAACATACAATTAGACATAAATTAATATAGTAAAACTTGGTCAAATCACTTGTTCGATCATCTATAAAACTGTTTCAATATAAGGGCTTTCAGGAAGTTATAGATCACTTGATGGATAATTCAATAATCGATAAGCTGTCAGTTAAGAGAGGTTAACTTCTTCACTTTTGACAAAGGGTTAATCGATCACTTCATTGATTAAGAGGTAATCAATAATGACCTAGATAATTGGTAAATCTCTTTGACTCACTTACTGTTTGAAATGATTTATAGTAGGGGTGTTCAAGGCCGGCACATCCCAGTCGGCCCGTTCCGGTCCCGGTCTTATTGGGACGGGACGGATCCGTCCCAAAATTTTTCAGGACGGGACAAAAAAGGAGTCGTCCCGTCCCGGTTCCTTTTTTTTTAATTTTTTATCCTATTTATATAATATCATTTTTTTCATATTTTTTTTTAAGATTTGATACTATTGTATGGAACTATGGATATATTTATTTATAGTTTTTATATTTGTTAATGATTTGAGATTATTGATGATTAGAATTTTTAGCAAGTTTTTATTGTGTTAAAAGCTTTTGTTTAGAGTTTTTAATGACTATTATATGTAATATTTTGAGGTTTTGTTTAAGAGTGCCCAAACAAATAAAAAGAAAATAAAAAAGATGTTTTTATAAGGTTTAAACCCAAAAAATATAATTAAAAAAATCAGGTTTTATTAAAACAATTTTAAAAAATAAATATAAAAAAAAACTTCGGGACGTCCCGGTCCCGTCCCATATTCGTCTCGTCCCGATCGGGACCGGGACAACCCCGGGATGGGCCGGGACACGGGATGGATTTTCTGTCCCATTACTGTTTATCAGGACGGAACCGGGACGGGCCTGTCCCGGTCTTGATCCGTCCCGTGAATAACCCTAATTTATAGTTTATCAATCACCTCGTCGATCAACCACTTATCGATAAGTTGTTCTAACATTGCTTCACAAAACTTCTTTGGTTGTTCGATCAGCTATTCGATCAAGTCTCCTTTTAAAAATCATGTTTCCACTGACAATGATCGATCATTTAATTGATAATTTAATTATCGATCACTTAATTGATCAATGTCATGTTTTTCTGGGATTTGAGTCCTTTTGAACTATTTTAGAGATAACTTGTTCGATCAAATTTTTATTGATAACGTTTCATATTAACATAGTTCAAAGTACCTTTACACAGTTACTTAAATTATCGATAATCTGTTCGATAAATGATTTATCAAACAGCTATTCCATAAATTGCAAACATATTTCTTTTAAACTGTTCTTTACAAATGGTCTTTCAGGAAGTATATTTATATCTTATCTTCAAGCCTTTCTCAGCCTTCTTAAATTATCTTATATTCTTATAAAAACTGAAAAAGCACATGTCTTAAGTTTGCAAGATTCTTGGCTGGTTATCATATATATCTTCGTGTTGACTATACTTTATCATTTATCGAACATTTGTTCCATAAATAGTTAATCCATAATGACTTTGATAAATGTTCACTTCTTTTAAGTCTGATTCCCTTTCGATTAATTGACAACCTTATCGATCAAGACTTCGATCAGTTGATTCTTTCTACTTTATGATAGTCTGATCGTTGATTCTATGATTTTCATTTATTGCATTAAATCCAAGAATCATCATTTCTTCTGATATTCATTCCTAATTACTTGAGAAGAAAACTTACACTTTTACCAAGAAACTTTTACAGATTATGAAGCACAACGGATATATTATAAGTTCAACCTACTTTGTCAGAAGCATTTATTATGACCAATTGTTATAACTGCTGAACACAAGCAATCGATACTCCAACGGCTACAAGCTCTTGTGTTTAACGGAAAACTAAAAGTCTCCAACTATAAATGGTGTAAAGAACATTGAATGAAGTATTGAATGAACCGAGCTA